TGTTACGGGAAATACAGGAGGTCTTACGGGGAACACAGGAGGTCTTACGGGAAATATTGGAAGACTTACGGAAAATGCAAGAGCAGGAACTGCTATGGAAAATATAGCGGGCCTCATGGGATCTGACATGAAATCAATTATCATCAAAGGTATTTCGAAGTATAAAACTGGAGGATCTGCAATGATATTAAGTTTACTCGTACAGGGTGAACCTGGAATGATGCCAGGGGGGGAAACCTGTCCTCAGACATTACCTGAAATGAGACCTGGGCCACAAGGCCAATCTGCTGGTCCTACGTCATTACCTCCAWCTAGATCTATTGGGCTAAATAGAGCACCGGCAAGTTCTAGTGCTGTTCAAGCAATACCAAATACAGCTCTCAAAAGACCAAACAAAATTCTTACATCTAGCGGTCAGCATATACCAGTGTCTAATCGGTCTCCTACAGGACTTTCTGGGGGACTTACTGGACCTATAGGGTCTCTTCCTGGACCTMAGGGTACTTTAACGGAAAYTGGCAAARTGATGTCAAGACCTATTGGTGCTAGCAGTATTACCCCACCTAGTACCGCTCTTAATGGAATTAATTTGGGTCTTACTGGACGTAATGAGGGCCTTGGTGGATCTAAAGGTGTTCTTATGAGAAATAAAGGTACTCCTATGGTATCAAATGCGGCTCTTTCAGGACGTAACTGGGGGCTAACGGGACGGAAAGGGGTATTTATGGGATCTAAAGGAAGACTTAATGGAGGTCTACAAGGACACAAAGGATCTCTWATGGGTCTCAATAGAAGGCTTACGGGGACTAACGCAGGWCTTAATGGACCTAACTGGGGCTTTCAGAGAACTAACGGACCTATGACGGGACTTACCAGTGGTCTCAGGGGATCTAATAATGGTCTTCGTGGAACAAACCAACGCATTATTACTAGGCAGAGAGGTACTCTTTTTGGATCCAAACTACGTCCAATGGGACATTCAGGACTTCRTGCTGGAACGACGTTAGGATTAAAGAGACATAACAATGGTCATTCAAGACACACTAAGGATACTGGACACAATAATAGTCGTATGGCTCCGAATGGACGTACTAAGCGACAAACATGGCCATTAGGAGCTACCATAGGCAAAGTAGGGCGTCTTGGGACACAGTCATTAGGACTTACGGGAAATTCAGGAAATTTAGGAGCAGCTCTTACAGGAATGGGGGGTGATTTGAACTCTATCGCTATCAGAGGTCTCGCAAAGTATAAACCAGGCGGGTCTGCAATGATGCTAAGCTCACTGATACAAGGTGCACCTGGAATGATGCCCTCCACAAACAACATGCCATTTACAGCTGTCGCTACTGGCTCGAAAAGACAATCTCATGGACCTTTGAGATTTGGGGGAGTATTTAAAAAACATAATGAAGTTCTTACTCCATCTAGCGGTCAGATCCTAACAGCAAMTAACTGGGGACCGACRGAAGGTAATAGCGCYCTTATTAGGCCTGGTAGAGCTTTAACGGGATCTAAAGACTCACTAACAGAAAATATCGCAGGACTTATGGGACCAGACACGAAGTCCATTGTCATTAAAGGCATCGCAAAGTATAAGCCAGAAGGATCTGCAATGATATTAAGCCTGCTGATACARGGTGAACCTGGAATAATGTCAGGAGGAGCACAATGCTCCCGTGTACAACCAGGGACGACGCCTGCCACTAATAAGATAACAGCAACTACTACTACTATGCCTGTTACTTCTAAAGAGCCAAGTAACCCTACTGTTCCTACATCTATACCATCATCTACAGTCCCTAAGAGAGTTTTCACACAAATTATGACAAACCCTCCCACTGAAGGTGCTTTCACGAGTCCTCCTTATACTAGGCGTATGGAAGGATCTACTCTGACAAATAGGAAGAGACCCACACCTATCGAGGTTGGTGGAGGACCTCCCACAATGCAAGGTGGTGGACCTCCAACAACACCTAATGGTGTTACTACAGGAATGATGAAAACACCACCATCAACGCCCTTTAAAGGGCCTCCCATGGGGGGATCATTGAGAAGACCCATGATGCGGCCACCCGAGATTGGTGGAGGACCCCCTACCATGCAAGGCGGTGGACCTCCAACAACACCTAATGGTGTTACTACAGGAATGATGAAAACACCACCATCAACGCCCTTTAAAGGGCCTCCCATGGGGGGATCATTGAGAAGACCCATGATGCGGCCACCCGAGATTGGTGGAGGACCCCCTACCATGCAAGGYGGTGGACCTCCAACAACACCCAATGGAGTCACTACAGGAATGATGACCTTATCTACTATCAAAGTATCTAGCAGAGTTCGTACAGAAGGGCCATTTAGGGGACCGACAAATGGACCCACTCCGCTTCCAATTAAGGCCTCCAATAGGATTCTTACTGGAGGGCAATTTAAGGGAGCCACCGGGAGATTMCCTTCTTTAAAACGTATTGGAAGACCACCAACTATACCAGGTGGTGCRCCTCCAAACGGAGTTACTACAGGAATTATGCCACCGATTCGTCCCAAGGTTTCTAACAGAGTTCGTATGGGAGGTCAATTTAAGGGACCCATACCTGMYATTAGGCCATCTAAAGGTGCTACTGCAGGATCTAATGGTCGTCTTATGGGACAGAGAGGAGGCGGTCTTGCTGGACTAACAAGACCTTCTATAGGAAATAATGCTATACTAGGAGGACCCTTTGGGGCCCTCCAGGGACTCAATTGGGGTCTTGCAGGACATAAAAGGCCAAATATGAGAGCAAGTGKTAATCTTAATGGTGGTGACGGGAATCTTGTGAGACAAACGGGACGTCTTATAAGGCAAAATGGAGGTACGTTGCAGAATAAAGGAAGTGCTATCGGAGCTCTTTCTAGTCAAGCAGGAAATTTTATGAAATTGAAAGAACAACTTGCTCGACAAAAGAGAGGAGTTGCTRTTCTCGAGAAGAATTCAAAGGAACATACTGGTTTTGCTGAAAATAATGCAAATTCAGGAATTTAYACACAARACAACGAAGGTCGTCTCTGGCGTCGTACTAGAAGGCAGGAACCAAATATTGGACGTCTTGCAGAAAGCATAGGAGGCTTTACGGGAAATTTAGCCGAACTTTCAGGACCTAACCTGAAGTCTATAGTTATAAATGGAATTGCTAAATATAAACCAGGGGGATCTGCAATGATACTAAATTCGCTGATACAGGGTGCACCTGGAATGATGCCAGCGGGATCTAAGTTTCCTAAGGTATCATCTGGTCAGACAGACAGATCTGCAAGACAACCAGTTTCATGGGCTTCTGCAGGATCTAAAGAAGGTCTAGGAATGGAAGGGCAGGGAGGATTTATGGGATCTTACGGAGCTCTTTTAGGACCTTCCAAGGGCTCTACAGGCCGTAATTGGAGTATGAAAGGAGGTAATGCTGCTCTTGTTGGATCTAGCCGTACTCTTGAAGGATCAAAACGACCCAATATAGGTGTTTGGGGTCTTAGTGGACCTTACGCGGGTCTTGAGCAACGAAATTGGGGGTTGAACGRACCTTTTAGCAGACCTAAATCACGCCTTTTGGGAAATGGAGGGATTCRAAGTGTTACCAGAGGATTAAAGAGGCACACAAAAGTTCATAAAGGGAAAACTTCTGACCGACGTGTAATACAACAAACAAGTGATAGAGGAATTGTAACAGGCCAGTCAARACTTTTGGGAAATTCCGAACGTTTAGATGGACATTTAAGGAATAAAAAGGAAAACATAGGACACCCWATGGGGAATTCGGGTGTTTGGACAGGAAGTCKTAGGCGTCGACAAAGAGGAGGTCTTGCAGGAAATCACGCGGGAATTCTTACAGAAAATACAGGAACTCTTACTGGAAGTACAGAATGGGGAAACGCAGGATCTCTTGAAGCAAATGCAGGCGGTCTTCCCGGAAATGCGGGAAGACTTTCAGAAAATCCAGGGACTAATCTTGCAGAGAACATTCAAGGTCTTACGGGAACTAATCTTAAATCGATATCTATGAAAGGCATCGCCAAGTATAAATCTGGCGGGTCAGCAATGATTCTCAGTTTATTGATACAGGGCGAACCTGGGATAATGCCAGGAGCAAAATGTCACCAACCATCACCCAGGACAACACCTGCCACTACCACGATTCCACCCACAACATCAGTCACTTCCACGACCACTAGATTTACGCCAACACAGAGATCCATACCAACAAATCCTCCTACTGAAGTGATCACACAAACTCCTATGCCATCTACTCCTCCTCCTACAGAACCTTACACAGGTATGACGGCAGGGTCTGTAACGGAACCAACAACAGGTTCTACTCCCATAAGAACTACTGGAGAACCTCCCATCACAACAGGTAGTACAACACCAGTTACCATGCCATCAACTGCTCCTCCTACAGAACCATACACGGGYACTACTCCACTTAGAAGTACTCAAAGACCTTCGACCATGCCGCCTCAAACAGTTCCTAATACCGTAACTTCCCGAATGATGACAGAGCCTCCTACTAGACCATCTACTGCTCCTCCTACGGAACCTTACACAGGCATTACTGGAGGGTCGTTTACCGAACCGACTAAAGGGTCTACTCCTATAAGAACGACTCAAAGACCTACCACACTACGCACAAGACCTCCAACAACACCTAAAAGAGTAATGCCTAGCACAACTCGTTCTACCGAGCGACCCACCAGTGACAACAACTTGGCCAATGGTGCTCTTTCAGTGGCAAAAGGAGCTCTTACGGTAGCTAACGGAGCTCTTAATGTAGCTAATGGTGTGCTTAAAGAACCATYGRRAAARAAAGCCAAAAGACCGACTACGATGCAGACCAATAGACCTACTACTCCTAGATCTACGCCYTCAACAACCACTAGACCATCCACCACAGGAATGATGACAGAGCCACCTACTATGCCATCTACTGCTCCTTTTACTGGATATAGCAGCGCTCCTCCAACAAGACCACTGACGACACCCTTAAAGACTTATCCAAGACAATCCACTCAACCAATCCGTCAACGTCCAACTGCACCTAAGACAACACCTTTTCGCAGGCCTCCTCCAAGGGCTATGACGAGGCCTAGAGGTCTTGCAAGACACAGAGGTCACGCAAGACCAAATGGGCCTCCTCCAGGGCATACAGGAAGTCGTGYGGGACACAACGGAGGTCAAATGCGACCACCTTATGGATATGGGGGGCGCCGTAAGCCTAATGGAGGTTATTCGAGACCAAATAGACCTCCTCAAGGACATGCAGGTCATACGGGATACAACGGAGGTCGAATGCGACCTCCTTATGGATATGGAGGAGGCTATAGGCCTAACGGTGGCTATTCGAGACCAAATAGAMCCCCCCAACGACAGCCAGGTCGTAATGGATACAATATGGGTCGACCCCGACCTCGTAATGGACCAGAAGGAGGCTTTATGCCGAACGGAGGTTTTACAGGAGGTCGTATGGGACATAACAGAAATCCTACATGGAATGGAGCAGGTCGTATGAACCCTAATGGACGTTTTAGAGGACAAGGTTTTTGGGGGCCTAATGGGGGTTTTGGAAGTAACGGAGGATCTTTCAGGGCTCGTCAAATGGGACATAAAAGAGGTCGTTTGGAAAATACAAGAGGTAATTTTGGGAAGTTGTCACAACATAAAGGAAACCTTGGAAAATCAAAAGATAGTCTCACAAGGCTAAAGAGAGTTCTTTCGGGACTTAGTCCAAGTCTTAAAGGACAAACAACTAGTCTTATGGGCCAAGTAGGACGTCTAGCKGGAAACGTGGGAAGGCTTACAGGAAACGTAGGACGTCTTACCGGAAATACAGGAGGCTTTTCTGGAAATATAGGGAGTCTTAACGCAAATGTAGAACGTCTTAAGGGAAATYTAGGACTTCTCAAGGGAAGGTTTGGACGTCTTACAGGGCATGGATCAGGAAATTCAGGCCGTCATTCTGAAAATATGGGACGTCTTGCAGGAAATGTAGGACAACTTGCGGGAAATACAGGRTACTTACCAGGAAATGCTGGTCGTSTTTCAGGAAATTCAGGCCGTCCTTCACGGAATATGGGACGCCTTTCTGGAAATATGGAACGTCCTGCGGGAAGCGCAGGCAATCTAATTAAAGGAGGTTTCTCAGGGCATAGAGGAAGTCGTGCTAGAAACGCAGAACGTCTCGCGGGCCATAGAGGAGGTCGTGTTGAAAATACAGGACTTCCTATGGAAAATGCAGRACGCCTTGCGGAAAATATAAGAAATACCGGACAACCTGGAGGTCTTACAGCAGGTCTTGAGGAGCTTATGGGGCCTAACGTTCAGTCCATCGTTATAAATGGCATTGCAAAGTATAAACCAGGGGGGTCTGCAATGATAATAAGTCTACTGATACAAGGCGCACCTGGAACAATGCCATGCTCTCATACATCAACTCGTGTGATGGCTTCATCTACCAAGATACCAATTACCACATTGCCTCCGTCTATTAAGACTTCCAGTGGATCATCTTCAATCCCTAATGGACTCAATATAGGAATGATTACAGCACCTACTACAGTTCCAAGCAACGGTCCTAATGCATTTCCTATGGGAGGCTCGATGCCAGAACCCACCATAGGACCTACTSTTGAGGTTCCGGTCTCACCGAGTACTGGAGCTCAAACCACCCCTAATGAAGTCACTGCACAACCTACCGGGGCGTCTTATGGGGTTCTTACGGTACCAAGTGTCGGTCGTCTGGGGGGATTATTGACAAGACGCACTGAAGGGCCACCTCCTATCGAGATAGGTGGACGTCCTACTATACCAGTTGGTGGACCTCCAACAACATCAACTACTGGAATGATGACAACACCTTCTACAGGGCCACCAAATAGTATATTGACAGAACCAACTGAGGGGCCTCCTCCTATAGAGACTAATGGAGGACCTCCTCCTTTACCGATTGGTGGAGTTCTACCAACYCCTCCTGGAGTCACTACAGAGCACTCAACACCTCCCGGGCCATCTCCAACAACACTTAATAGACTTAAAATGCTCACGACAGAACATACTACACCACCGGGGCCATCTCCAAGACCTTGCAGTTATTCATGCTCACAAACATCGTGCCATCATTTATGTTCACAAACAGCCTGCCCTGTTTTATGTTCACAGACACCTTGCTCTGTTTTATGTGCACAGAACCCCTGTTATAATCTTTGTTCACAATCACCATGTAACCCTTTATGCGCACAGGCACCTTGTAATCAACTGTGCCCACAGGCACAGAGACCCTGTCGTCATTTGTGCTCAATATTATTATCGCTTAATGTGATATAGTACCYCAAGTATGACAAGATGTGGTATAGTACCCCAAGTATGACAAGATGTGGTGTAGTACCGCATGACTAGCAGGAAGTGGTATAGTACCCCATGTACTTATTGCAAGATGCGATGCTAATCCGGATAATGGATAATAATGGATTCCTCGGACAGAGAAGCCAGATACATTCATTTCACTGTGAACTGAGTTGATAAACACTCTGTGTATTGAAATAGGCTGACAGCATCGGAAAGAAACTTGGCTAGATGCAAGGAAAGATCGAGGCCAAAWTATTACCTGGAAAATAAAACAAAGAAAATGCAATTGGAATTGTCAAMATTTCCAGCAAAGCCGGAACCTAAGTTTGGATTTGAATGTGTTAGGGAGATCCGTATTGSTTTTGAATGTGAAGACAGGCAGTTGACGCTCGCAAACCAGACTTACAAATTTTCATTAGGTTGGGCTCAATGTATAAAAAACGCTTTATAAAAATCATATTTTATTTAGACAATTATTTTCAACAAAAAACGAAATGAAAAAAAGAAAGACCAAAAACATTGGTGCCTTCTGAGCCGCTACACTGTAGCCTCTTCTATCAAAGACTGCGGCTAAAAATTTGGAAAAAACCTACTTTATTTGATCAAACCAAATACATGTACAATATAGTTTTGTTTTGTACAATAATTTTACACGTGGCTGTAACTTCGTTTGCAAAGTTTCTATACCTTTTTTAAAACAGCATTAAAAACACTCGTACATAAAATGAGAAATGAGAAACGTCAAACAAAACGTCGTTTTGGGAACATTGTGAACATTTAAAAATTAATCTTGAAACCATACCAGGAAAACATACAGCTTGTTATCAATAATAATATATAAATTCAGAGTTATTTAAAACAATTATATCAGGACACAAAAGTGCTAAACTTTTGATTGTTGATTTTGTTCAAAGTTTCAATTTTGAGCCAACGAGCCAACAGGACAATTTCAAGTTGATGTTTAATTTCATTGAGGCTTCGAGATAAATGTAGTAATACTTAGGGACCCCCTCCACCCCCCTTTGCATGATTTTCCAATAGTCTAACCTGCGACATGCGAGAAATAGGCAAAAACAAAATAGCAAAAACATTAACACTTTTGATTTTACCTTTTGGTAGCCTACTACACCCTACTAGTTACTACTACTTAAACAATAGTAATTGTTTCACAGACGGATGAAAATGACTCTAAGTTCTTTTTTTTTTCCCTTATAACTATTCACATTATTTACAATTTTGTAATTACATGTTAAACAGAATATTTAGAATATTTTGCCTGCTTCTCGATGACCCAACAATATTGACAATGTCACAGCTACTAACATGGTAATTGTACTTTTGTCTTGATCATACTAATAAAAACACCGCATCCTATTGCGATGTCTTTATGAGTACGGAAAATACAATAAGTCCTCAATAATTCCACTGATTATCTGTATTTATCAGTCATGATGTCTAGAGAGATCAACACTGCATGGATGAATTGCTTGAGTGAAAAAACAAACATTTAAAAACAAAATGCAAAAACATGTAAAAACATTTCTCCATTTCGTAAACTTGATATTTTCACTAGTAAAAATAACACATTCAAGTTTTCTCTATATAGTAAAAGAAAAAAGTATTTTACGACATAATTTGCTTTCATAGTAATTATATGATCAACAGAATATTACATGGTCAATATCTTCTATATAATACATACATATATAATATTAAGCTTGATCTTTTCACATGTGAAATTAATAGCAAGTGTTGTATTTCTTAAAGACAAATAATCAAAAATATAATAAGTTACATAGTTTTGACAATAAATCTAATAGCCGACTTTAGATATTTTGGTTCAGTGACCATGCACAAAAGAATTGCAGACGAGGCTCCGGGGAAATAAAGAATAAATCAAGATTATCCATTGATAATTTTCTTTTTTTTTAATAAAAAGAGCGTATAATATCGTTTTATTCTTTATTTCCCCGGAGCCTCGTCTGCAATTCTTTTGTGCATGGTCACTGAATCAAAATATCTAAAGTCGGCTATTAAAGTAATTATTTTTTYTGCTTTATAGACCTATCTATTCAATCTATTAAACAGAATATCATGGGTGCTTCTCGATGACCCAACAATTTTGGCAATGTAACAGGATGAATCAGCTACTAACATGGTAATTGTACTTTTGTCTTGACCATACTAATAATGACACCGCATCCTAATGCGATGTCTTWATGAGTACGGAAAATACACAAAGTCTTCACTGACTCCACTGATTATCTTCATTAATCAGCCATGATGTCTAGAGAGATCAACACTGCATGGATGAATAGCTTGAGTGAATTCCTTGTAGGATAAAGATCATCAAGAGCATTTCTTATTACAAAAAATTGTAGTAGGATCAGCTAGTATCGCCTGACTAAATGTAATAATTCCAGGCACAAACTATAACAAGATATACTTAAAGATTTTTTACTTTCTCCGCCGCTATTTTCAACCGACAGAAATTCCATCTAAAGCTAGAAATTAAAAATTAGTGGAGTGGACTTCGAGTTTGTCTTCTCTGAGGCTGGGCCTGACGCTGTCATTGATCGCTAAATACTTCCCACAAACCCACGCACCGCTTGCATCGAACCGAGTTCAATAACGGAGAGCGTAATGCACTAGTCAATTGAAACCCCCAACCCCCGGGGAATACCGGGGAATTTCACGTTTGAGTGGTGTTRAAATATGACATTTTCCCCGGTAGTCGAGGGCACATTAATTGTTAAAATCCCCGCTACTGTTGCCCCGCTATTTTGGTAGTAATAAATAACAAAACAAAGACCTTTCAATCAAATTTTCTGTGATACACAGGGTCAATTTTTGCACAATCCTGTGTACTCATTTGCGTACTACATGAGGCTAACTGGACCGAGAAAAACGTGTAATAAGTTTCTTTTAAAAACTTTTCATGCGAAGGAAGTTGCCAACCTCCTACATGTTCAAGCGCGCGTTAAAATCCCCGCTCTATGCCCCGCTTCGAAAACAATTCATTAAAATCTCGACCCCCGGGGCAATCTTGCTGTTAAAAGCAAGTTTAAAACTCGTCACGTCCCCGTTCAATTCCCCGCTAATCCTGGGGGTCGGGGGTTTCTTAGGGTTAGGGTTAGGTTCCTTTATATACTAAACACCGATCAAAACAAATTCCAGTATATGTATCTCGCAGTAAAAATCATTACTATAAAAAATAATATTTACAGGGAAAAAAAGGGGGGGGGGCAAACCGAAGATCCCGTCCGACTACAATTGCTACAACTGTTTCTGCTTTGCTTGCTRRGCTTTACACAGAGCAGAAGACCGGGAGCAGTGAACTTGGCACTTGCATGTTCCTCAACGCAATGGCTTTGGTTCGAGCACCCTGAAGATGGAAATTAATACCTTTCGCTTTGGTTGGGAGAAACAGGGGTCGGGAGGGGAGGAAGGTTGGTGTTTGCACATATAGTGAGAAGCTCGGACAATTTTCCAAAATCTTTGTGGGCGCAACTCCTTGCCAATCCCTTCCTCTCTACATTAGCTTAATAAYATATATTCTAAAATAACAAATTACAATTTTTTTATCGAGACGACGACGGTGCTAAGTTTGTCACTATTTTGCTCAACGTTTGAATTTTGACCCAACAAAAAAATGAAAAAGAACAAGATAATTTCAAGTTGATGTTTAATTTCAATGAAGCTTCAAGATAAAACTAATAATACTTATTTACACGTTTTAGTCTATATGGTGAACTTAAGCCCAGGGAAATTATCCTTACAGAATTGTTCAGCACTCTTTTTACAGTTGTCAGATACTGGATTAACATCCAAGCGTAGCTCGGTTAGATTACTGGACATGTGATTAAGAATATGATTAACTCCGACATCGGTTATTTTATTACCCCACAGATATAGCTCGACTAACTTAGTGTTTGACAAATACTGACTAAAATACTCAACACATTGATCATCCAATTTACAATCTTTCAGCCAAAGTTTAGTGATACAGCAAGTTGGCTTAGTGAGAGATGACAGTAAAGTYTTTAAACCATAACAAGATAACGATGACCCACCGCCAATATGCAGTCTGTACGGTGGTTGTGAAGTGACAGATGATTCATCTACTAACATGGTAATTGCASCACAGTCCGCGTCAGTGACACGAGATAGCTCGATCCTCTTYTTACTATTCCAGTATCTGTGGTCACGATTTGTAGTCAGTTCTTGGCTTGTCAARCTTTTGTCTTTACCATATTCGTAAAGGCATTTCAAAAGGATAACTCTTCGATTATTTCTAATATCTGACTGATTATCCACACACTCTAGTAGTTTTGACATTATTTGGTCATCCTTCTTTAAACCTAACARACCRCTCATGAATATGTACACCATTTCAGTGGTTCCTTGTGCCGCCATTGCACCATTCATCACCAAATACCGAGCAACAAGAAACTCTTGAATGGTGAAGTGCGTGAAGCTGTATTCACAAATTGGCTTTTGAAATGGCAAACCACTGGAAACAGGATAACAAAATATGAGATTGCTAGATTTAATGTACAATGATTCATTATCTGTTAATGCTAGTTTTTTTAAGTCTTCTAAGGTAAAACTAAATCTATTTTGTTCAGCTAAAAGTGCCGCTAACTTTGAAAAATTATCGAGCGTTTTGTCAACAGCCAACGAAGCATCTTTGTCATCTAAACTAAGTATTACTTTGTTGTAATGTCTTTCTATACATTGAATGACTCGGTCATAAAACTCTGTAAGAGTTAAAGGAATGTTACTATTGGTGTTACTTTCTATTTCCCACTCGATAAGCCTGCACATCAACAAACAACAGAAAGGGACGCGACCAAATGAAATGTAATGTACTGTTCCTTTSACTTTCTCTAGTGCCATCATTTTTACTTCTTCTGGTTTAGAGTTAAAATACYTCTCAACATACTCAAAAACCTGAGACTCTGAAAAGCCTGAAATTTCCACATAGCGATCAAAGTGGATTTTTTGGTCCAGCTTGTCGGCTTCGCCCGGTCTTGAGGTTACCATGATGACGGCATCACTCAAGATCTTTTTTCGAATTAGTTTGCTGATCAAGGCTGCTACTGGCATTTTGGCTTTAACATCATTTGGAAATTGGCTTTCAAAATCCCCRACTATTTGGTCTTGGTCTTTGAATTCATCAAATCCATCGAGAACAACCAACAACTGCCCTGGATGCTGTACTCCAATATTGTCTCATCTATCAATGTTCTTTCGTTCAGAAATGGAGAGACATTAAGCAGTTCTTTCAGAGTAAGCTGCTCTTTATTGCCAAGTTGTTTGAATGTGAGAAGATAAGTAAACTTGATTCCAGGTATCGACATGGTATTGTTTGACCAGTCTCTTACAATCTTTTGGGAAAATAAAGTTTTTCCGATACCAGGTTCGCCAGAAACCAAAATTGATTTCGGATTGTTTTCTTTGTTTTCGTCCAAAAAAATCTCATGACACTGCTTTATTTCGGTCACTGTTTTATAAGCYCTTTGATCGACTTCTCCAACTGTTTGGTGCGAGCTTCCTTCATTTCCGTGATAAACAGTTAAACTGGTAAAAATATCGTCAGTTTTCAATCTACGTTGTACTATTCCTTTTGGTAAGAAATCTGTTTGCTTTCCTATCGCTTCCTTGAGGTTGAGAGAGTAGGATTCCATATCTGCCAATCAATAACACCTTTTTTTAGTCGTCCTTTACACTTAGACCATGGAAATTAACAATTCGCGGTAAGAAACCGAGAAATCATTTTTCATGAGAAAATCCTAATTTTCTCTAATCTACAAAAAATTGTTTCAAGCAATCAATCAGAAACAAGCTGTTTTATGTAAATGTAATTGTTTCTGTAAGCAGAGTTAGTAGTTAGTACTAACTCTGCTGTAAGTAAGCTGCAGGGTTACTACAACTTTTGGATCATAGTAAACAAATTACTATTCTTTATAGTCAATACAAATGAAAGAAAAAAATTGATTTTAAACTTCTTCTCTCTAATTAAGCAAAACAGCACTTTTTGATCACAATTACTTAATTGACAAACTCTTGACATCATAAAATGTTCAAAACTCATGTGAAACCATAAGGGCAGCGTCAAGAGTGTGTCAATAAGAGGACATACAAAGAAAACCGTGTGCAATCTGTTTTTTACCACATTTTTTGTTCTAAAAATTCTTTTCTTTCAATTGAGCGCGCGAGAGATATGATGGTGTCAGCACAGTTAGTCTAAGTGTGCATATCGTGTCCGCTCGAGAATTTACTCAAGTGTGGTAAAAAAACCTTTAGTATTTACCTTCACTAGGCAAGTCTGAGGATTTTGATGCTCCACATATTTGTATTTCTTTAAGGATCTGCTTTTGATCSTGCTTTATTTCTTCAAGTCCAGTTTGAAGACCTGATAGTTAATAGAAATAAAGAGGATGATTTGTGCTTTAAAYTGAGGTCACCATGGAAGTACGTGTTACTAGTCCATAATGATCTCATATTTTTTTCCTGATATTGTAAAAGATAAACAAGCTCAAAAAATCAATTTTGGGTTGTTGAACAATTCTGCTCACTTTGGGAAAAGTACCTCGCGCAAATATTTCTCAATTTTGAAAGAAAACTTGATTTGTTTACATGTGAAAATAGTATGTGGTGTATTTTTTCTAAATAAAACTTGCTTTAAATATGATAAACAAAAAAAATATTTCTTTTATGGATATTTACATGATAAATACAAATGTCATCTCATGGACAGTGGAACTATGGGGGTAGGGGGGGTTGGGGGTTGGTGGTAGGTTAAGGGGTGTGGGTTGGGGGCACAACCACACAATAATTTGGTTGGTGGGGGGGGGCAGGCCCCCTAATAATTTTTCAAATTTTAAATAGAATTCTTAATATTTTATGTACTCATTGAATAAGTAACCTCTACAATTTCACAGTGCCCCCAAATCATTTTCTGCATCTGCCATCCATGCATCTTCTTAACTAGCAAGGGATGATGACCCATTTCGTCCACTGACAGTTTTTATTCATTTTCAGTAGAGTGCTTTTAATAAATGAGTGAAACATTAGGAAAACTATTTTGTATCCCATGATAATTGTTTATTTTTTTCTTTTGTTCAACTTAGTCGCACTGTTTTGTACAATTTAGCATAAGTGTTTCAACCTTTTATGGAAAGTAGCACTCAGAGTAATTAAACCTTAAATGACCCACAAATATACTGATTTAGTAGAAGTTCATTATACTTTTAATCAACTCTTTTTGTTCAGTATTGCATATCCCATATTTTTTCTTTAATATCCCTTATCCCAAAACGCCTAACAGGACCTCAAAAATATTTTCAACAGATATAATCAATGTTAACTGCTGCTAGTCCTGATATATCTAGAACTTAATTTRTAATGCAGAGATGCATCGATGGAAATATTAAAATGGAAGATGATCTATGGGCCCGATTACCTTCAATACTGGTGTGAATTCCTTGTAAAATATCTTTRTCATAAGCTGAATACTGCTTTACCAGAGATAACACTTTATTCCAAGGTTGCTGTACATCTAATCATTAAGAATAGTTGAACAACTTATAATAGGAAAATATTTGATAAAGCTAATTAAATGTGAAATCTAGATGGAGGGTATTACAAGGGTGCACAGACAAACAGATTTTATCTTCAGATGTTGAAAAGACTTGAATGAGTAAGATATTTTTACATGAGAATATAAATTTACTTTACATTGTCAAGATCTACAGGTTTGTTCATTATTTTTTCTTCAACAGACCTTTCAAAATATATATCAATGGTTTATTAGTGAATATTGAGAATTTATGAAAATTATAATGCCAATCATTATGGGACTAGACAGTGCATTTGAGTAACTTTGACTTATATTCCAATAATCCTTGTCAATCCTTGTATTACTTGAGTACTATACACTAACTTACCTTCCTCAACCTTTTTGAATTCCACAGGTAAAGCACCAACTAACAACAGTGCATGACATGCATTGCTGTAAAGTTGATGAAACTCTGCAGATTCAATCTTCCCGCTGCCTGTGTGACAAAGTGTGTTTCTTGTTTCCTTCAGACATTCGAGGCCATCAACTAMAGCTTTGTTGGGAATCTTGACAAATGGAGGCCTGGAATTCAATAACACTTTCACAAAGAGGGATAAATCCCATGTTGCAGTGTCCCCGGACTGGACTTTGTCTCTTTCRTAAGAATGTGGGGAGAACTTTGTCAATAAGTCAGTGCCATTCTGAGAGCAGTCAGTCCATGGAACAAACCCACCAAGAGAATTCCATTCATCTATGAACAACTTGCRTAACTTCACCAGTCCTACTCTGTTAAGCAGTAGTACCAGGCAACAGAAATTCCTGTATAAACAGTTATAATATTTATATTGCAAATTTCAATAATCATAGTGATGAATATTAATTAATACATTATTAGATCAGACATAATACTCCAGTTTTGAATTCTCTTTTGTGCAAGCTTAGCTTCAATCAAGCATAAATTGTTTATTGTCTCCTTTGTACACAGAGTTCTTGTATTACAATAGATTCTCTGCCGAATAAAAGAATATATTGTAGTACATGATTTCGAGGTTAAGACTGCACAAATAAGATCTCGAAACTGGAGCATTAGAATCAAAGCAAAAGACATCCAAGGAGTTTTAGGTCACTATCAGTTCCTCTTTTTTGTTATACTACATGGTATGGGAGTATTGAGAGCTCTTATCTTGTGGGGGGGGGGGGGGGGGTGATGATGGTGTCTGATATTAGATATTGAAACTCAAACAAAGTAGTACTCTGGGATCAATGGTACAGAGCTGCTTTTAAGCATTTTAAAAAATGCTAAGAAAAAGCTGGAAGGAGTCGAGATGCAAAATGAATGACCTCTATTCACAGCTCCAGCCAGCCAGGTCATTTTTTCAGACAAGCTCTGGAGAGCCTTTGGAATAGGCCCCAACACATTTTAATATGATATCAATGTTGAGCTCCCTCTGGAGTCTCGTATTTCCTCGATCAGTGTGACTTACCGTTCCTCTTCATCCATCCTTCAATAATTTTCTGATAAAGGAATGCATTTTTCTACATTCCAAATTTGTTCTGAAAATGCAAAAACACCAATGCCATTTACTAATTGTAGTCATGATAAACAGAATCAGTTATGACTTCTATTGACGCCGGTTTATAGCCCAAAATATGCCCATGCACAAACTCTTAAATAAGATTCATTCATACTAAGAGGTTTTCAAGTTGCATCTACAGCTGTAATTTTCAATCGACAGAATCAGGCTGTAAAGCGAGAAGTTATCCGTGTTCAATGACAACAACGGCGAAATTCGCCGTTAGCCGTTATCTATATCAACTTCCACGAAAAATAAATTAGCTAACACAAACTATATCAAAATAATTTACTGACAATCTATTTTGCCGTTGACTAACGGTGAAATATCGTTTCAGACGGGCGCTGGCTGTCTGCATCCATGCAGCAATCATAATTGATTTCAAAGTAATACGAGCTTCTAATTCTCCACTTGTGACAAGAAAATGTGTTCTAAAACTCAAAATGTCATCCATATAAATCAAGAATGASTTTAAGGTGCTTGAAAATGCGATATTTTGAGCAGACATGCTTCTTTTTAATACTCACCCACAACAATTCTTTCCGGGTTGGCTTCGCATGGCTGAGATCGAGTATGACCTTATTAAGAAATTTAGTAGGGGTAGTAACAATCACGTTTTTTAGGGGTCAGGGAGGAGAGGTGGGGGAGGATAGTTGAAAAGACGTGAAAAGTGAGTAAGCTACGCACAACTACACATATTTTAAACTGCTAGCTGGCGGAAACACYAAGTGCTATGTGACTATACGTAAGTCATCACAACCATACCAAACCACCCGATTGCTGTAACAAAAGTTTTTTKGATCGTTTCCAGGTAATCAGACTGGTTGAGCAAAGCGAAGAATATTTGATAGTGTGATGGAAATTGGAATTAACTGAGTATAGCTAAGATGTATTAGGAAATGATTTTTTTAATAGTGGCAATATTGATAATATATGTACACACAAAACGGTAGGCATCAATTCACACAACAAATAAAACATGGACTGTACAGC